GAATAGGAAAAAGCGATGTGTGTGGAAATATAAAGTGGACAGTACAATATATGAACATGATTGGTTGAGAGATCAAAGAGGAAATTTGGAGATAAATTGCCATACCTGCAAAGAAAAAAGACATATAGACATGTTGTTACAAAAAAATAAATTGCAGATTTACAGGAGAAAAAATAAATTATATGGAAGGGATGAAATGTTGTTGTTTTTTTTGATAGGTTTTGCTGGAATGAATTGATCCTGAAAAGACTATAATGATTTATGATTAGTTTAAAGTTTATAATGTTGAGTGTGTGTAGGTTTTAGTTAGAAGGTGGTGGTTATAGCAGGGTTTTTTAGATTCAGCCGGAATGAACTGGCACTGAAAGGATTGATATGATTTATGATTAATTCAAAGTTTATAGTGCTAGGGGTGTGTAGGTTTTAATTAAAAGGTGGTGGTTATAGTAGAGGTGTTTAATTATCTTGGAAATTAAAATTTTAGTTCTTTATAACCGAGTTGTAGTAAATGTTAATAATAAAATAAGTGAAGTAAAAAATAACTCAATACCAACTAACTGAGGATGCTTATAAAACCAGGTAGGGCCAACGTATTTAAAGAAATGGGATATGGATGACAAATAATAGTCTTATAATTGTGCAGTTAAATCGTAGTATTTTTTGTGTGTGACAGTTATATAGGGTTCTTTGGAGGGAATTATTATCTGGCAGTAGGGATTAAAATGTATAAAAGAAAAGTCAATAGAGAACAGTTGCAATTTGGACTCTATAATGGTTCTAGCTATAAGTTAAGACTACAGTGTTGTAAAATAGTTCCATTAAGATGGTAACTTAAACTTGAATATTATTGAGGCTGACAATGAAAATTTAATAAGATAAAAAACTAAAAATGTATAAAAATTTGGAATCTATAACCCATATTTATATTAAAAATCATAAATTTAAAGGCTAATAGAGTAAGTAGGAATTTTTAGTACCTGCCTTGAGAAGATAAAGCTGATGTTGAATGCTAATTTGTTAAACTAATTATAAAATTAATATGTATAAGATCATTGTTTAACAAACGAAGTAGATATATCTTGAAAAAAGATTACTAAGCGTTGTTTGTACTCAGTTGGGAGTTGTTCTGTTGGCTGGATATAAGAAAAATGTAATCTCTTTGGTTTGCTGGATTGCTCTTTAAACCTTTTTTGCTAGAATAGGTATTTTGGATGGTGTTCTTGGTGTAAAATATATAGGTAATAGATGTATATTATCTTGAAAACCCAATAAACATATTGTTTAAAAAAAAGAAGAAGGTCTGGCCATTATCCTCCACGAGTCGGCTTCTGAAGGCTCCCAGTGCAAACTGTCATGAGCACTGATTGCATGCTCCTCACACTGGGGACTCATAATAGACTAGGCATACTGCTTGTTCCCTGCTAGGCAATCTTCCTCAGTCGGCAGAGGTGCCCTCAGCTGTGGCTGAACGACCATTGGTACTCACCGTGAGGGGTCATTCTCCTCTGAGGATTGGAGGACATCCTGTGTGGGTGATTCCCATCCATCATTCAGGGAGGCAGGACTTACAAAAGAACTTCCTGTTTCCTGTGGTGGGAGTCACCCTTTCCTCAGTTCGGGTACTCCGAAAAGCAGTAAAGGTTGATAACCTATTAACGACATCCTTTTAAAAGAACATAACTACGTACAGGAAATTCTTAACTTCTCTCTTTCTACAATAGGGTTATACACATAAGATAGTAGTACAGTCAGAACGTAGGCAATGTAGAAACTTAGTCTCCAATACTTACGCATGACGGCGACCTGGGGGGGCCGGGATGTCCTCCAATCCTCAGAGGAGAATGACCCCTCACGGTGAGTACCAATGGTCGTTCTCCCTCTGAGTTGGAGGAGAATCCTCAGTCGGCAGAGGTGCCCTCAGCTGTGGCTGAACTGATTCTTCCATTATTCTGAGGAGGTGCTCGACCTCCCAAGACCATGCAATGCCCACTCCATTTAGGGCAAACTTCCACAGTCTTTCACATTGTTTAGGAAAAAGCAGAAGAAAATGCTGAAGCACAAGAGCCTGAAGGAATCAGCAGCAACTTCCTTCACCTCCTACTTGCAAGCAGTGGCAGTGGGGGCAAAGAAGATGAAGCCGTCTCAGATGGAACACCCCACAGCACTGACAGGTGCTGAGTGTGGCCTCTCCATCCTCTGAGGCCCAGGGACAAGCCTCCATGGTGACAGCCAGTACCATTTCTTCAGCAGCTGAAGCATCAACTGGGATGGCAAGCAGACAACAAGCCCCATCCAGCGTCAAAGTGCCAGTGGCAGAAGGGTCCGTCAACAGAGCCACCCACAGCTCATTTCAGCTGACACCTCTCACCTCGTCAACTGCACAAGGCCAGAAGGCCCGAGCAAGTACCCAAGGCAGCAGAGGAATCAACAGAGGGCCTCATTTGCCTTTGGAAGGTGGCTCTTCCTTTCCTTCCCCATCATCACTGAAGGGGCTTCACGCAACCTGAAACTCTGTGCCTAAGTCACTAAAAAGGTTATGAAGGTCACTAAATAGGATGTGAGGGGGGAAAGGCACAAAAAAGGAGACTTCATTGATGGAGAAATGAGGATTTTTCCCCTCCCCTTTTCCCAATTCTTCTTTTCCCCCCTCCCCACCAGGAAAAGTTGGAAAAATGGATGTTGAGGGCGAAAACAGCTCAAGTGTCTAGCTCTTGTGATTAGAGAGAAAAGCCTTCACATTCCTTTCTGCTAGGACCT